CTATGGGTTTTAGTTCTCATTGGTCCACATAAATCTGTATGCACTATCTCAAGTAAATTTATAGAAGTCCAATGCTGAGAAAATGATTTTCTAGTCATTTTTCCTTTAATACATGATTCACATGTATTAAAATCATGTGCATTTACTTGAGGCAACATTCCATTTTTACTCATGCGTATCATTTTATTTTTATTTTTGTGACCTAAACGTAAATGCCATAAATATGACAAATTTTGAACAGTAGAGACAAAGGCATACTCGGAAGAAATACTTTTATTAATACAAACTGAGTACATATCATCGACTCTTATTTCCCTTACATAAATATAACCTTTTTTTTTCCAATAGTGACAACACCATTCATGAAACTTGTCTCAAAACCTTTCTTTTCTTGGACAGAGACAAGATTCCTCCTTATATTTGGTGCAAACAGAATATTTTTAAGCACAATGGTAGATTTACTATTGTTGATCTTGCAATCTCCTTCACCCAAAACATCGACATAAGTATTGTTACCCATGTAGAGACGATGTTCTCCTAGTGTTTTCTCCTTGAAATTGATGAAGCAACTTTCGTCCTTGCATACCTGACGAGTTGCTCCTGAGTCTATTCACCATTGTCCTTGATCTTTAACAATGAGTGCTTCGGAGACAGTCAAAATCATTTATTTAGGATTTTTGTTGTTCTTGCGTCATTTTGGGCATTTATACCTATAATGATCAGTCTCTCTACAATTGTAACATGCACTCTCCCTTTCTTTAAACTTGTTCTGCTTGAGGTGTCCAAACTTTTTGCAGTTCGGGCGCTTATTACTACTATGTAGCTTGTGCATGTGTTGCTTGTTTTTCTGAGAATCTTTTGATATGAGGAGGTTGGCTCTGCCTTGTCCAGTTTCATTTTTCCTATAGCTTTTACGAACTTCTTCAAAGCCAACATTGCAGGCAATTTATCCATCGTTAATTCAACTTGACCATAAGTCATGGAAGTAACTACATTTTCCCAATAATTTGGGAGGTTACCAAGAAGAACACTAACTTGCATTTTATCAGAAACTGGATGACCAGTATTAGCTAAGTCTTTTGCCATTACTTCCATTTTAGTAATATGATCAACCATAGAATCAGTTTCCTCCATTTTTGTTGTATTTCTCAAGCAATAACTGAATGTACGTTTGAGATTTAGGGCCATACTTATTTTCAAGTACATCCATGATTTCTTTGGCCGAATCATATTCTTCATAGAGAGATATTAATTTATCTTCCTTGTAATTGAGATTGTGGCCTTAGCCAACTCATTATCTTCCACCCATTTATTATAAACTTGAGAGGGCCTAAGGGGTCTCTCGTCCTTGATAGTGTACAAGGTCTTGTCATGGGTTAAAAGATAAGTGATCATTCTCTTCTATATTTGATAATTAACGTTATTTAACCTCTCAATTTTAAAAACTTCGGATTTGGAAGATTTAGTTGCCATAGCTCAGAAAATTACAAAACAAACACAATACTTAATACAAACTTAAATACAAATACAAATACTACTATGGCGTGTTTACATACAGGGAAAGGATATGGTGGAATGGGAGTCATTCCCCATTCCTGATCATTTATCTGTTTACTAACTTAAGCGGAATGCACAGTTCCGCGGGCCCCATGTAAAACCAGGATTTCAATTCCTGATATTGCCGGAATTGGATTACGTAGACGAAGGTGGTATTTGGATTCCGGGGAGAAGGCTCCATCCGGAATCAATTTTCCCTTTCCAAAATGCCCTCCACCTTCAGTACTCTTTTCCTTTTTCCATTGTCATCCGCCATCCTCTCCAGCAGCTCTATGCCCTTGACAACTTCTTGGCCACTTCGCGAAACTACAGTCACCTTCATCGTCGACAGCAAGTGAGAGAGACGCACTTCAACAAATTGATCAAGCAACAAACCCTTTTAATTATTTCAGAAAAATCATGCAATTTCCATTTGAATTGCAGAGAGTGCGAATCAACCGGAAAGAGAGAAATGAGGGTGAGAGTGAGATTCGAAAATGGGCTCTTTCTCCTTAATAACGACGTGAAATGTTGTTGGGGTGTAAGAGTTAGTTTGGGGGATATCGGATGGATGGTATGATATTAATGGCGTGTGGTTGGGGTAGGAAATTAGGATGGCTAACTATCACTCCTTTGCCAACAAACCCATCGCTCCCTGCGCTTCACCTTCATCGTTTGCGCCACACCTTCCACCTCCCAGTGTAGCCATGCCTTACTCCCCTGCCACTGCCTCACAAAACCCAACCACATTTCCCCCAAATCGGATTCAAGAATTTATCATCCAAACCCCAAATAATAAACCCACAGATCCGGTGAAGAAATCACTCAAAACCCAGAAAATCTTGAAATTGAAATACTTGGCAGGGAGGAGGGGTGGTGATTATGGGGGTAAGGTGAGTGGGAAAGATGAAAGCAAGGGGGAAAATGGGAGGGGGGAGTTTTTATCTTCGGCTGGGGAAGATACAGAAGGCAGATGAAGGTTTACAATAATGACATTTTATGAAAATGTAATATGGACAAGAAATAAAACAAAAAAATAAGGGCATTTTAGTAATCATATTGATTTTTATTCCGATTCAGATGAATTAGTAAACAACTTATATGAATTTTGTTTCATTTTTACTCCGATTCCAGAACATTTAAGTAAACAGCTTCAACATGAATCTTATTCTGATTCCTCCTTAATCCAATTCCTCCTCAATTCAATTCCTCCTCAATCTAATTCCTCTATTTTGATTACGGTTACGTAAACGCGCCACTAGTGTACTTTTAATTATTACAAGCCACAAATACTAAATGTTCTTAATAAGTTTAAAATTAAAAACAAATAAAATAAAAGATAGAGACTTGTTTATTTTTAGTAGCAGATATTGCACGCACTCACAAAGGCTTTGTCTAATCAATGAAAGACGAGTACTTGTTCATGCGATCACATCGATAGAAGGCTCGTGGATTTCTTGCCTGACTACTTGGCCAGGCGTGATAAACTCTTTCTCTATTTTCCTGCATAAAAGTAGCCTCTTCTCGTCTAGTGGGTTCTCTTTCAATTCTCAGTGGCCTTGGTCCCCTTAAATTTCTTGCAGTTAAAATTTCTCTTTGTGTCAAATCAGGATATATAAAACTGTAACGAGTATTATATTGATCCAAATGATTTAGCACTCTAACTCTTAGATCCCTAAAATTAAACCTTTGCTTCCACTTTTGGTTTTTGTGACTGTTATTCAAAGTATTCTACAAATCAACCTCATGAGTAAAATTATTAGGATAAACGGGATTAGTAAAACCTGAGTTTGAATTGAAGGGAGCTGCCAAGGTTGTAGGAAATGGTTGAAGGTGACTTTTTGAATTTGGGCCACATGAAGATGAGCCCACCTCAAAAGACTTGCAAACTTGAATGGACAATAATCTTTATCAATTTCCCCTAGTCCTTCACGTGCACTATCACAGTGCTTATAACCAAACGATCTGCTACCTTTAGTTTTTTCCCCACCTGAAGCCCTTGCATTTTAACATGCACTGTCATAATGCAATGAACCAAAAAATCTTTTGACTTCAATCTGGTCCCCACGTGTAGCCTCCCCCAAAACAAATTCTACTTTTTTATTTTCAAAGCAATTCCCTTCTTCTTCTTCTTCTTCTTTATTTTCAAAACACTTCCTCTGGGAAAAAACAGGTTCTTCTTTCTGCTTCGTTCTGCAGCATGGCAGATAATCTCGAACGGCAGAGACAATTCTTCTTGGAGTATATTGATGTCATCGGTGTTATGTATTACCACGAGTGGACGAGACCACAAATGGATAAACACAAACACGTTTCTGCCTGCTTTGGATCAATGGGGTGCTGTGGTGAGACGACAACGGAAGGTGAGACCATGACGGAGGAAAGTGTGAAAATCGTGAGTGTAGTCTCGGATTTGCAGTAGTCAGCGAAGGATTACGAATCAATCGAGTAATTCACAAGATCGGAAATTGATGTCGTTTAGACTATCGATCACAATATGGTGTGAAAGATATGAATAGATACAATATGGTGTGAAAGATATGAATAGATAGTGAATATTGAATTGAATGAATCTGACAGAAAATGGTTTGACAAATATATAGAGATGGAAGTAACCTCTCTAGAGCAGTTGTATTCTTCAGGAGAAGTTATAACTTTTCATGTTGAAATACAACTGTTCATATTCTTTTAGAATTAATTAATTAATTAATTATAACTTATTTCACTACAATCATATGGATATTAGTACACCAATGTTATAATGTATCTTCACATATGATTACACATATTGTGAAAATCACGTTACAACAAGTGTGAGGTGACTCAAGTGGTTGCCTGGTCTCTTGGCTTTTCTTCCTAACTACTCATATTTTGCTTCTTGTTCTTACATGAGGAGTAGAACCGTAAAATAAAAAATTTAAATTTGATGAGATAATAGATAAAAAATTTGCCCTTGTTTGCATTTCCAAGGTATGGTTATTGAACATTTGTATATTTTTATTGTTTTGTTTGAGATGTGGGCCCCATCTATAATTTAAGAAGGGGTAGGAAAGTTACATGGCTAGCGAGTCTTGAAGGAATCACTTTTTGGGCAAAATGCCAAAAAAATTAATAACATGTCTATTATTTTTAAAACAAGAAAACATATGTTGAAATATCATTAGACAACAACAAAAGGTGAGAAATGCTAAGGAAAATCTCTCAAAAATGGACTCTCTGCCATCTCATGGGGGAGTTTCGAATCCAGGACGTATGTGAAAATTCTACCGACTAGAATATTGGACCACATGCACTGCAAGAGTGCATTTTTGCTTACCACCCTCAAGTGGTGGTAATGTTCACCATCCTACTTGTTACTATTGACTTGCGCATTTTTGCTTACCACCTTCAAGTGGTGGTAATGTTCACCATCCTACTTGTTACTATGGAATGAGTTTAAATTTTGAAATTTGTGTCTATTTACTACATAGATCTCGAAAGTTAAACTTATCCAACAATAATAAATATAATGGAGAATATTACCATTACTTGAGGGGTGGTGATCAAAAATATTTCCAGAGTGCAATTAGCATTTCTCACCCAGTATTATTATCCTTCTAAATTTGAAAACCCGAACACCAGCGCGAAATTTGAAGCCAAACCCCACCATCGCTCCAAAAAAACAAAAAAAACCACTCACTCTCTCCCTCCCTCTCTCCCTCCCTCCCTCCCTCAGATTTTCTCGAACTCCGTCCCGGAAACGCCCTCTGAGGTTATAATTTACAATATTTCAAATTTCGGTAGTCTCAAAGCCATTCTTTCAAAAATTTCTCCTCGCTGTAGATTTTTTGTTTGGTTGTCGAGAAAGCGCTGGAAAATAAGAGAAAGTGGGAGAGGAGGAAGCTCTGGTACTTGGCTCTGACGTAGTAACGCGAAAGACTCCTAATCCGGCGAGGGTCCTAGAGTGTTTCTTATTCCACGCATGCATCTGTAAGTGCTTGGTTTCAAATTTCTAGGGTCCTAGAGTGTTTCTTATTTCAAAAATTTGGAGTTTCGTAAATGTTGAAGAAAATACTTTGGATTTAAGTTTGTGACGCTCAAAACACTAATTCAAGGAACGGTGAAATGATTGTAGGAATTTAAAAAGTTAAATCTTTAATTCTCACTTTTTTAAATAAAATAAATTTCTAGAAGAAATTGAATAAATTTCTCGAGTTAAATCTAAGTTGCCGTTTAGTTCATCATGGTATAATAATCAATAATGTTTGGTTTGCTTTAATTTTTGTATTCTACTTTGGAGTTACAGGATTTGCTACTTGTTATTTCGAACGTTGGGATGTGTCTGTAATACCAATTACTCCATCAGTAATCCCAACTTTAAAGGATTAATCTTGTAGAACCACGAATTGGGTCTTTTTTGCTGCATTTCAAGATGAAGAGACGTGCACTTGTTAAAGGGAGGGGACCTGCGAGGATCACTACACAACAGGGGGTTTTCGAGTTAAAACACAAGGTGGTGATTGCAATGAACAAGCTTGCTGATCGGGATACTTACCAATTAGGCGTCGAGGAACTTGAGCAAATGGCTGAGTGCTTGACCCCAGATGGGTTTGCTCCGTTTCTGTCTTGTATTTTGGATATGGATTCAGAACAAAAGAGTGCAGTCCGAAAGGAGTGTATTAGACTAATTGGTATATTAGTTAGATATCATGAGGGGTTTGTTGGAATGCATCTTGGTAGATGGTTGCCAGCATTGTTAAGCGGCTCAGGGATCCAGATTCCGTTGTGAGAGATGCATGCGTGGAGACTGTTGGTGTTTTAGCATCAAAACTCAGTAATGATGTGGGTGAGGGTGATGGGGTCTTTGTTGTTTTAGTCAGGCACTTTTTGAAGCTCTGTGTGAACAAAACAGGCAGGTGCAGTCGGGTTCAGCATTGTGCTTAGCCAGTGCCATTGACAATACTCATGATCCTCCAGTTTCAATTCTGCAGCCCATGTTGAATCGAACAATAAAGTTGCTTAAAATCCGCATTTCATGGCAAAGCCAGCAATCTTTGAGTTAAACGGAAGCATTATTCAGGTGAATTCTTTAGGTTAAACATAAGTTAAAGTTGTCATGATATTACAGGTCGTCTATTATGATTCAGCTATTAAAAATACTGTTTTCCCAAATGCTGTATGAAGAACTGTTAATTGATTTCTATGTGCACCATTTGAATTAGTACTCCTCATAATCGGGAGAGGCCTTTTTTGTGAGTTTACAATGTATGGCATGAAAGAACTCCGAGACAAAAGTTTTAAGTTATTATATATACACAGATTGATGTATCTGCATCAATATTATTAGTTTATTCACTTTTATTTTGTACGAAGTAATCTGCTTTGAGTCTCTGTCTGCAAAACATGCTATGTGGTGTTTCCTCTCAATCATGGCACAGTGCGTTCTTCAGTTAATCATTGAATGGAATTGGATAGTGCCAGTTGTCTAGTAACTTGCTAAACAGCCTATTTCGGTGCTCTGTATTGCTTGTGTTTATTTTGCTGCATATTTTTTGGTACCACTTGTTTGAATTTGTGTGGTAGAATTAGAATATCCTTGCTCTATGTGCTTGATTCTATACTCTACTCTAGGCAGGGGGTGCTCCAACGCAAAATGTTCTCTCTTCTGAAATGATTAGCATTCAAGAATCTTTAGAGAGTAGTGACTGGACAACACTCAAAGCTGCTTGCATAGCACTAGGGGAAATAGCTTCAAGTGGTGGATCCTTCATGGGCTCTTTTAAGGCTTCCTGCGTTCGTTCGCTTGAATCATGTCGCTTTGACAAGTTCAGTGTTAATTAAAATCTACATTTGGAGAATCTTCTTTCGTGCAGATTATTAAACCAGATCTTTTTTGTGCTTTTTGTGTTGTAGGTGAAACCAGTTAGGGACACGGTCCTTCAGGCCCTGCAGTGCTGGAAAAGTCTTCCAGGACCTGATGCTTCTGAACCTTCAGAAGCTGGATCTTCTATAAAAGGTTTAATGTGTTCATGTGCTCTTATATGCTTCAGATTGGTTTTACTTGCTGGGTTTTACCGCAATGCTATTTCTGGATGGTCTCAACTCTCAATTAAGCTGACAAGAATTAGAAACTGGTGCAGTTTCAACGGGTTATGCACATTTTGAGATGCATCTCGAATCTGAGGACAACTAGGGTGTAGTTGTTAAGTTTTAGAAAATAAAGTAAAAATGCTACTAGTGCATGGAAAGCCTGCCGTAATTGATAAAGATGTCATCCTTTTTCTTTTGTAGTTCTGCAAAATTTTGACTTACTGTGCTTCCCTTGTTACTTCTCATAATGTTTATACCAATTTTTGTCAGAAAATTTCTTTGGCGGTGACTACAGTGATATTACTAGTGCCAGGGAATCTGGATGGAAGGATCTCGCACTCAAGAAAGTTATTACTGGCTTAACTAAGAGCAGAGCCCCTTTGTCTATTAAAAAGACATGTCCAAGTTTTGGCAAAAGTCATAAACGCTCCAATGAAGATGATTGGCATTTTGAAGTTGCAGTTCCGAAAACCCACAATGCTTCTTTGCCAGAATTTCAGAATGAAGAATCTGAAGGTAGCTCTATTACAAAGACTTTAGAACGGACAAGCACACAGATGTTACAAGCACACAGGACATTGGATATGAATATGTGCCTATGGATGAAAAAGAACAGTGTTCTTCTGGGTCAAATCTTGTTAGTGATGACTTAGAGGGGAAGTTTGTGACTCATAGCCGTGTCAAGGGTAGTTCGCAGAAGCCAGTGGGAAGAAATCAGCGGTTTGCAGCTGAAGAGATTGGTAGTGAGAAACAGATGTACTCTGAAAGGATACACCACCGTAGAAGTCTGGATTCAACTGTGACAGAATCTAGTTCCCATACTCCACATGGATGTTGTTTGCAAATGGCCAATGAAGTGGTTTGCATTAGAAAACAACTTGTGGAGATTGAAACCAAACAGTCAAACTTAATGGATCTTCTACAGGTACATACATTGAGACATACATATATGTTAGTTGCTGCACAGTTTGTGTAAGCTCCTAGAGAAACTCTGATATGCTGGTCACTTTGACACAATATTGCTCAGAAGTCAGAATATATGTTGGTTTTCATTTCCATACAGCGTTAATCAATCTAAACCCTCTAACTTATCTCTTGCATTAAACTTTGTTCACAGGTGTTGACATCTGGCATACTGGATAGCTTGTCTGTGTTTCAAACAAGGGTGGTGGGTCTAGAGGATGTTGTAAACCGATTAGCTCAGTACTTTGAACACAGGAGGGAGCATTCAAATTTAGCAGCCTCCAAACTCATGAAACAGAGACAGAATTTGCGTTCTCCAAGGCTCTCCACAAGCATTCCGAGGCCATCTATAGATATGACCAGCCGGCAGCCTTCAATGTTGTCAGTGAAACATTCTGATACTTGGGAGGCAAACACAATTGGCAGGAGCCGAACAAACAATTCTGCAGGACACTGTACAGAAACATGGAGTAATAATAGGGGGAAGCTTACCCGGAATCCTATTGGGAAAGACATTCGGAAAATTCCTGGGCAGGGAACACAGAGGATAAGTAATGGTCCAACAAGGGCGGATGCTATGTTTTCTTCAGCTTCTAATGCCAAAGTTAGACAAAATGTTGTAGATAGTAAGAATAACCTCTGGAAACAAGTGAAAGGTTTTCTATGTGAAGGGGACCTCGACTCTGCATATGTGGAAGCTCTTTGTTCTGGTGATGAAATTGTTCTGGTTGAGCTTCTTGAAGGAACCGGTCCAGTTCTGGAGTGCTTGTTGCCTAAAACTGCGAGGGATGTTCTTAGCACTTTAGCTTCATATCTCCTAGAACAAAGGTTTATCAACATCATAATTCCTTGGTTGCAGCAGGCAAGTGCTTTTATACATTATTTATGCAACGTAATTTTTACTTAGAAACCAAAATGTGTTCCAAATTGAAATGTTAATGCTTAATGCGATTTTCACTCGTTTAGATTGCTGACTTGAGCACCAAGCGTGTACCAAACTACCTCGGCCTGCCAGCGAAAGCAAAACAAGAATTCTTGTTTTCCATGGAGGAATCTCTGAATATGGAATTTTCCAATCCTTCAGAGAGAAGATCTGTTACTCAGTTAGCTGTGAAGTTACACCATTTATGGGGTAATTTCATTTCCATGTTAACGTTTGTGTTTGCATTCCCAACACTTGCATTTTTAACGCAGTCTTGAAAAATTATCCGTCCACCTGCCTTTGGTAACGATAATTGCCTACTTCTGCAGGCTCGTGACAGTCAGTTATTAAACCAAGGCTATGCTGTGTTATGGAACTTGCAGACTCCGATTGGTAACTTGTTTTAGAAATTTTAAGTGGTGTTTGTACAATTTTAGGTGGTTTGGACATGTGAAACGAAGACCTACAAACTCTCTTGTTAGAAGATGTGATAACGAGACAGGACGCAGGGCCAAGGAGGTAGAGGAAGGCTTAGGAAGACTTGTATCTAACGGAAGACATGACACAAAACCGAGCGCAGTGGCGTTCTAGGATTTATATAGCCGACCCCACTTAGTGGGATAAAGCTTTGTTGTAGTTTGTACAATTTTAGCCAGACGAGGGTTGATAGTCGGGTTATTTAGAATGTTTTCCTGGATTAGAATTTCCTTTCCTGTAGTAGGTAGTTTAACGTGCACATCCATCTCTCCGTCGTGTCACGAAAACCGGGAGCGTTTGTGTTGTCAGCAACATTGAAGCCCTAATACTCATAAACTATGGAAAAAGAGAAAAGGTGGGTAGAGATCCACAATAACAGTTAAGAGAAAAAGGGTTTTCTTGAGATGCTCTACTAAATTATAATCTCATTCGTACATGATAGTGATTCAATACAATGTGAAGAAAATGAATTACAAAGTGTTAATCACAAATTTCGTCCCGCCCCTGGGCATGGATTTAACTCAAAAACACCAAATGGACAGACCAGTTGATATCATCTTGTACACTTTCAACCCTCCATCCAGTCGGAGCTACTTTTCATGTAACAAAATCTGGAGACAAGTTACTACTATCGATATCTTTCATAGGCTCGCTCTTGCTCCCTCCATTTCCCGGTTTGCTCCTTCTACGTGCCTCTCCTCCCCTTTCACCGTCTCTTCTGTTCGGGTCTCTCTTCCTGGCGGGAGTTCCAAAGGTTCCCTTCGGAGCCTCATAAAGAGTTACACCACCTTCTCCACTTTGAAGTTCATCGTTTCCTGTTGTCTGAAGAGAACCGAGCATTTCAACCACCTGGCACATAAGGGGCCTCCCTTTTGGGTTTTGACTAAGGCATTGATACGCCAAATTGGCCACCTTCATTGCAGTTTTAAGTGAGTACTGCCCTTCCAGTCGAGGGTCTACAATCCTCAGAAGTTTCTTATTATGATTCAAGAGTGGGCGAGCCCACTCCACCAGGTTGTGTTCTCGGCCGGGTCTGCTCTTATCCATTGCTCTTCTTCCAATGAGCAGCTCAAGCAGTACCACTCCAAATCCATAAACATCGCTTCGAGCGGTGAGATGCCCTGTTTGGATCAACTTAATACTCAGTCACAGTATACTATGATGTAAATATTACCAACAATAAATAAGGAATTATGCCATATTACTTGTTAAAAGGTATACTCCTATAAAAAACCAAGTTGAGATAGGCTTGACATTGATATTGTTTCATCTGCAAAAGCATTCATATAAAAGCCACGCACTCGCCAAATTGATGTATATGGAGAGAGAACACGAGGGAGGAAGATAGAGGGGATAGTTCTTATCAATATTCAAATAACTTCCTCTCAATTTTTCCTTTAAATCAGAAGCACAAAAACCATGATGAAAACCAATGCATATGATCAGACGTTAGTCAACCATGTATAACATCCATGATAGTTCTTTGCATATCTTTATGAAAAATGCTAAAAGATATTTGTCCGTTCCTATCAAGAAAGAAAATACATTTTACAAGATAAATCGGTGGCAAGAAACCACTCACCAGTCATTACATACTCAGGAGCAGCATATCCGTGCGTTCCCATCACTCGTGTTGAAACATGGGTTTGGTCTCCCATTGGTCCTTCCTTTGCAAGGCCGAAGTCTGACAACTTTGCGTTAAAATCCTGTATGTTATAATTCAAATTTCAGTAAAAACAACCAGCACAAGTTATTCACAAGAAATCGCTCATTTTCCTATAAAAAAAACATGCATAATAGTATTCAATCAGAAAAGACCTGTCTTTGTTTGCCAGAATTAGATAAAGGATCATGACAATTAACGTTCATGTGGACTTCATCGCGTGGTTTGAGTTTCAATGCAAAAGTATTCTCTTTTAAATATTTCTAACAGCACGTCAAGTAAGATGCTCAACAGTTATGAACACAATATAAAAGATAACAAGACAACTAACCCCATCCAACAAGATATTTGATGTCTTGAAGTCGCGGTAAATGATTGGTCTCTCTGCACCATGAAGAAAAGCAAGCCCTTTCGCAGCATCTAAAGCAATCTTCATTCTTCTTGACCATGTAAGCGTACAGCCCACTCCTACCACCCAAAATAAAAGAAATGATTACAAACACAATATGCAGTAAGTTCTTGATGTGTCAGAAGTATCAACTAGAATACCCAAAAATAATTTCGAGATATCTTTAGTAGTTTCAGGGGATCAATATGCAGTTTGAGGAAGATTCAATATTTACAATACAGTCTACGTGTACACTTCCTGCAGCATACTTGGTATAACTTATAAGAAATGCTCCATAACATTCTAGACGTTGAACCACTAAAAATAAAACAACGCTCGTTCACAATCTAATAAAAGTCATTTCATGGCCAACATAAAACAAGGCAGGATGAAAAAGTGTCTATCTCCATGAACAGGTTTCAAGTTTCCAAGTAGTTTGAAGTGAAACAAATACGGAAACTGAAGAAAATAAGTCTTATCATAAAGATACGAAGAAAATGATACAGGTCAAGCTAGATGATCTACTTTGAACATTCTTAAATTAAGAGCGTGAAACACATTTGGTTCTAGAAGCTAAATAGTAACACTCCGAAGGAGGTCTTGACTATTGAGAAACAGAGTACAAACTACCCAAAAAGGAAAGACAAGAAAAAAGAAGTACTAAAAGGCGGTACATGATCTCTGAGCGTACGGATTAAGGATGACACGCGAGAAATAGAGGGCATAAGACATCATTTTTCTTAATATCTCATGAAATTCTGATGGCACACGACACTTACTGCGAAAAAGATGTTTTTCCAGGCTCCCACTTGCCATGTATTCATAGACCAGTAGCCGGTGGTCATCCTCACAGCAGTACCCAATCAGCTTCACAAGAGTAGGATAACTCAGCTGTCCCAGATAGTTAACTTCTGCCTGCAAGATCAACAATCTATGAAGAAAGGATAAAAAAGTAATCTTAATGCATAGGAAAAATGCTAATAGAAATCAGACTATAAAGTCTCCTGGTTTCCAACTATCCTGTCCAGTGCACTAGGAGTTGTTGAAAGAACTACCTCTTTAAGCGGGAAAGATCATCTACTGTATTCAATTCTAAAGCCCACAGGCCATGATTTTCTAATTTTTTCTCTCCTTGAGAAGATCCTTGCAATATAAAATTAAAATCAACATATATCTCTTTGATTTTTCCCCAAATTAGCCAATTCACTATTTAAGGAAAACACGAAACGCACCATACATGTTTCCCTTTTTTGTCTCCAAAGAGAACTTATGGGAATAACCCGATCGTAAAGCATGCTAGACTAAATCAAAGAGAACTTATGGGAAACCAAGTATATTAAAACCTTTCACTTGCACAACTTAAAAATTGACTACAATAAAGCCTCATTTCCCAGAAAATAAATAACATAAAAGGGTAAGATAAGTCAAATACCAGCCATTCCCTATCACCTTGGTACCCTTCTCGATTAAGCTCCTTGATGGCAACTTGCGTGGTCTTGAATCCAGTCCTCACGTTATCGTCAATAACTCCTTTATATACAACTCCAAACCCACCCTCACCAAGAATTAGATCTGGCCGGAAATGTTTTGTGGCCAAACTCATCTCATTGTAAGTAAATATGCTGACATTGATATATCCGGGGCTTTGGCGAAGGTCTTTGACATTCTTGGAAGCCAAAGGAGTGGTGTTTGATGTTCTACTTGGAGCTTGAGAAGATACAACAGAGTCATCTCCTACTCGATTTGAATTTTTTCACAAGAAGAAGAGAGAAGTGATTCTATCAGTTGCCCAATATTTCCGAAAAATCCACACATTACCAGTTTTGTTGAGCAGGCCATTATCCTAACATAGAAAGAATACAATTTCTAGTTTCTTCTCAATCAATCAACGCGTTTGAAAATTTTGAATTTTGAAATACGGAAACTGAAGTACAAATATTTTAGCCGCAGAAAATGCACAGAATGGACATTTCACATATATCCGAACCATGTTCAAGAAGTTCAACAACCTCTTACCTTCATGTCACAAAATACTTGCGATTTCTAAAGCACCCCTGGAAAGAAAACATAACCTACTCCAAAATCAGAAACCTATGATGTTTCATTAAAAATTGTCCACCTTTGACACATACATTCTCACATTCACAAACTTCAATAAAATGCTTCAAATCCAATCACCTAGTTAGAAAATGTGACAAATGACAAATACTAAAAACCGAAAACTTTGGTTCTTCAAAAACAAATTAAAAAAATGCAAAAGAAGGTAATTCTAGGGAGATTAAATTTGGAAACTAAATGATATGTCGCCAGTAGAAATGAATACTTTTACGCTTAAGTAATAAACTAATTATCAACTTCTTTTAATTTTCAAAATTTTATTTACAAATTTAGTCACCCTAATAGAAAAAAAAAAAACCCAAACTTTTCCCTGCCATTGTGAGTCATTCCTTATTAAGAGACCCAAAAATCCTCCCAAAAAAATATGGCAACTGAAAAAAAAAGTTCCAAAACTGCAAAACGCATTTAAAGGCAGCAAGCAACATTATGTACAAAATTTAATGAGCAACCATTTTCCAATATTTTCCAGAATTAAATGTGAAATGAAATTGTATGATGAAATAAATACCTTGAGGACTGGCGTGTGTATAATTGGAATGCTGGTCCTTTACAGAACTGAAACAAATCCCCATGAATCTGAAAACCAAGCCCGTATCCGCACCCGAATCAGGTTTCACATCTCAAACCCGTTCCCTTCCTCCAACTATTAGCATTGACAACTGAAAAGATTCAATGACCCACATCCATATCTACTGTGGGTTCATCTCTCAATCGTCAATGTGGGGTTGGTTTTCTGAGAATTCGGGTCCGGATTCAATCTGGGTTCCGATGTGGGTGGCCGGGAAAAGGAGATAAAGTTTGTGCCTTTTTTTTTCGGTTCTGTTGGTTTGTTTTCCTTGGGCCACCAGAAAGCCACTCAAAGGTTGAAGAAAGGAGAAGATAAATACAGGGAGGAGAGAGAGCGGTGAAAATGAGGAGAGAGAAAGATTTGGCCCTTATTTGTCATGTTTGGAAGGGCATTGGGGCGAAGAAAGCGCCAAACCAAACGTACCGAATTCGCTGCACAGTTGAAAAAAATAAAAAAAACCATCCGGTAGATCCGTCAAAACAGTATATCTTTTCAGCCAGTATTGGTGTGTCAGAAATCGAATTACAATGTGAAATACAAATTTAAAATTCGTTTCTAATTACTAGGCTATCCTGTTATGGTTAGTCTTTATGCAAATTTTTAAATATGAGTTGGGTTTTTTGTCAATAGAAAAATAAAAGAGGGTGTGAATTGTTATTTTCTTGGGGTACCTTTGTTTTAAATCCACTTCGTTAATCCACTTGCAATATTCTGTCACTTTTTGCTTTTGTGCTTTGCCGAGTCTACGTGAGACCGACGAAGACAAATAAGTAGTCTAGTCTCCCATATTCAATCATTAATCTCAATCAATTATCAACGATATATGTGATTATAAATTGACTAAATTGATCATAAATTGAATTCTCGATCAATTATCAACGACATACGTAATCATGAACAAGTTTAAAATTATATGTTTCTTTGTCTCTTACTAAAGACTTCAAGTCTAAGAGTCTAAACTAGAGCCACCAAACACTTAAATAAAAAAAACGATATTATCTACATGGTAGAGGTGATAGATTTAATCTCACAATGGGCTAATATAATGTGATTCAAACTCGTATTTATAGAGAATCAAACTTAAGACCTCTTATCCAATTACACCATAAATATAAGATGTTTTATCGCAGTTGCGGAAAACAATAATAGGTGGGCACAGCGGAATATGCACGACCGGTCACATCGGAGTGCAACTGATGGTTCTGATATATATTGACAAAAAAACGCGTTTAGCATAAACAAAACAAAGATCCCTTGCAAAGACCTGGACGCACGACCTATGAATTGATGGGCATCCTAATACTAATTTGGGCTTGGAAGTTGGAAGACCCAAATCTGAACCCGAATACCCAAAACCCATTTACCAAATCATGACCGAGTCACTGACGACGAGTAGCGAGGTCAGAATTCTGATTTTTCAGCCTCCGTCGCGCTCCGACTAAGAAAGCTTCAATTGCAAAAATGGCCGACGAAGCCAACAGGGCTGTAAGTCTCTCTCTCTCTCTCTCTTTCTCTCTCTCTCTAGATTTTCCACTTTATCTCGCTCGCTACTAATTACAAGAAGAATCAAATTTTTACAGGCGTTCTTGGAAATTCAAGGCCGCATGATCGAGCTCACTGCGAAATTGAAGCAGGTTTTTTTATTTATCCAGAATATTTTTTTAATTAATAAATTTTAAATAGGTGGTGAAAATTGAACTGATTTGCTGAGAACTGAGGTGGGTTTCAGGTGCAGACGCAGATGCGGAACAAGGAAGGAGAAAGGAAGCGTGCTTTTCTAACCTTGGAGGAGCTGCGGCCTCTATCTGATGATTCAAATACTTACAAATCTATAGGTACTTCGTTTCAATCAACCCATTTTCTCTGTTCTCAGTTTTAAATTGGGGAAAAAAGTGACCCATTTCTTTTGGGATTTTGATTTTTATATTATGATGTTTTTTGGGTTTAAATTTGATGAATTTTGTTGGTTAATCTGTTTTGCAGGGAGAACGTGAGTTTCGGACTTCCGGATTTAAACATGACATTAGATAGAGTTGTTCAGGTCTTGTTTTTGATTTGTGAGCTGCCTGACATACCATCTGATGATACATTTTGTTATGGTGGATAGGTTTGTGTTAGAGCCCAAGTCAGTGTTAGTGAAAGAACAGGAACAAAAGCTCAAGGATAGTGAGACTGCAATCGCCTCGCTCCAGGTATATCTCTGCTTTCATTTGAATAATAAGGGTCCCTTTTCTTTCTTTATAGTTTGTTTTGTTTCGTAATGGTTGTGGGGAAGAAAGTTAATATATACACCTTCGATTTCAATACACCTTTTAGAGATACCACTACAAAGTTTAGATGTCAATGCTCAATAAATTTGTTGCATTTATACACTTTGGTTTCAGTAATAACGAGCTTGCAGAATCTGCTTTGCCTCATTATTAGTCCCCATTTAGGAACTTGTTTTCTACTGTGTGCATCTCTTCCTAGGAAACTTCATTTTGCATTCTCCAGACTCCACAGACAAAATTGTACTCCGCTATAAAGACATATAACAACATCCATTCCGTGTAAAGGCTCTGTCATACTGTTGATTTTCATCCATTTAAATGCCACATATAAATGGGTTTACTTATTTTGAATCTATAAATTCTATATGTTGTTGGTCTTAGTTTCAGTTTACCTGTCCAAGACGTTGAGATATGTGAAATAAGAAGCCTAAAAAGATCTGTATGAAGCTATGACCATCTTTATTTGTTGCTATGTTATTTGTCATGATGGTAAATAGAAGAATGATGTAATAATAGGAAAGAACAGTACAATTATGTCCTAAGAGTGTGTCTAAATACTTGCCAAATTCATGGATGAGAAAACAACACCTTGTACTTTTTAGAAGTTTTCAATGGGTAGAACGTGATCATCTCGTATGAACCTTGTTTAGCAAGGTGAACTGATCCTTCAACTGATTTCACAACTAAGGCTCTGTCTTTTGACGTTTAAGTCTTCCAGAAGAAGTTTACTGGGTTGGGGTGACATTTTGCTAGTGAATACATCAAACGAAGAGAATCTTCACCCCCTTCTCTCTCCCCCTCCCTCCAGGTCGTCAAAACAAAGAAAAAAACTGGAAAGGACCAATATGATAGTTCACAATTTGGCATGTGAAGTTGTATTTCCATTTTAGGGCTGCTTAAAAGCAAGCGTGCCCCATTTGATTAGCTTACATATGAATAGATGTCAAAAACTGTATAATGCTATAAATGTTGTATAAATCTTTCTAATATTAAAGAAAGAAATTGTCAAAATGTTTTAACATTCAGAATTAAACAAACCAATTAGTTCGGTTGTAAGGCTTAAGAAGATAAATTTAACATACTTATAATCTAGTTTATAGTGAAAACTGTTGACCTATTGTTTGATATTCACATTCGTGAATTGGGTTGGTGCCTCGTTGGTGATTTCAAATTGTGCATTTCTGTTTGTGGGAGTAAAGAAAAAGAACATTGAGGAATAATTGCATAATCACTATGGTGTGGGGGTACAGATGGAAAGAATCAAAAGGATCTTTTAAAGTTATGGGGGAGAGAAAATGGGGGTTTGTGGGGAAGAGTGCTTTTGAGATCTTCATAGCCTTCAATTTTGTTCATATTTTGGAATTTCGTAACCATGCAGAGGAAGGTGGGAGTCACTTTAGATTTACTTGTTATTAGTTCAGCTATTATAGGCATTCGTGGTTGTTTTGGGAGGTTTTGTTGTTTCACTTGCTGGTTGGTTGAGGCTTTTGTATGTGCTCGATGGGACAGCTTGAGCTTGAGCTTGTCCAGTATCTGTGTTAATATGTGTTTAAACTCGATGTCATGTTTATGTGATAATTTAAAGACTATAACTTTTTATCTATTGGACTTTGGCGGAAATAAATTGTTTCTTTTGTGCTCTGGACAGACCTCAAAGGAATACATCGAGAAACAGGTTGCAGAGGTGGAGAGCAACTTGAGGGAGCTATTGAACCAAGATCCAGCTCTTGCTCGCCAGATAATGTCCATGTCTGTAATGTAGTTTTTAAACTTGTGAATTTTTTCTGCAGTTACTTTGTTTTCCATTCAGAACAAAACAGTTGGTAGATTTACTGGTTTTCCTCTCGGCTTGCCCCCTGTTATTTATAATATAAACGTGGTGTTTTCTTATATGGTAGATGATAGGTGACATATACTTAGCAACTTAAGCAAGTTCTTTCTATTTGCTTGAGCAAGTTAAAGTTTTAAAGGGTGTTACGTTGATTATCTACCTGATAGTAGTCTTAGCCCTGCTCCAAGCACTGGAGTGGAAATACCATTAGCAACTTTAACGGTATTAAAAGGTGGAGTAGCGTGAGAAACAACGATGTACGATGATTGGTCATGTGATCATAAGCCCCTGAATCAACGATCCAAGGTTTATTGGGAGGAACAAATGTAGTGTGCAAGGCAAAACCAAAGTTACCTGTGTCGACTAAGGAAGTGGAAGCAGTAATAGGAGAAACTCAGTGAGCAGATTGATCTACCTGAGGTACGGAAGGCGTTGGTGTAGTCAGGTATGCTTGTGATCCACCAATGCTTTTCTTTTGATTTTCCTTCCTTTTGAACTCTCCAATCAAGATATGCAACTTGAAACAAGCTTCTCTAGTATGCTTATCCTTGTCACAATAAATACACTACCTTGTATCGGTAGTTTTAGATCCACTTGAGCGAGAATCGGAGACTCCACGGGGAAATCGAGGCGGAGTAGCTACCATGGCTGAAACAGTGGTCTTGGAGTCGCAAAATATTTTTACTGCATGAACAAATTCTCTTTATTGAAACAAGAGAGCGTATGTATCTCACAAAGAGAGGAAGAGAGATGATAGAGAAAAAATGCAAGGAGGAAGAGACGATGGCACGGCCTAGTCGGTGCAACGCGACGGGGAGACAGGAATGAGAAATTTGATTTAAACCCATGTAACATATTTCTATCACCAACTGACTCTTTGCACCCATTTGATTTTTAACTAAACTATTAATATCTCCTTAAACCCTAATTTACAACTTAATATACCCCAATAAACACAATTCAATATGTGGATTTATTTTTACATCCATTTGATTTTTAACTCTATCTTTATGCCGTCCGGAAATGGACATTGAGAATTGAGGTGTGAATTCAGCCATGTCTGACAGCAAGACTGACACTTCTATAGATGTTGACAAAAATCATGTATCACCATCTTTCTCTAAGTGGTCTCTGTTTCATGAGCATATGCTCATATATCCAAGGTGAGACGAAAATCCTCCATTAGTGGTTGGGAGTAGATTTTGTCGATCAGGGAAAAATGTAGTATCTTTCATGAACATTCATATATTGAATTAGAACAAATACACACTTTCTTGATTTTTTGCTTGTATATACTACACTTCGGTACTTAGAAGTTTCGTGATTACGAGATCAATCTCCCACAATATTTCCTAATGTCATTTGTACTAAATCATTCACTGGTACTCACTAAAGGAGAGCTTGAACCTATGTACTGTGTAAACCCTTCACAATTAATGAGAACTCCTCTACTCCGTGGACGTAGCCAATCTGGATGAACCACGTACATCTTGTGTTTGCTTTCCTGTTTCTATCCATTTACATACTTATCCACACTAATGACCGGAGCAATCTAGCAAAGATCACAAACTTAATACTTTCTGTTGTACCAAAGTCCTCATTGCTTTTGTGCATCAACAATCCGTAAGTCCTTACCTTTTTGCATTGGTAATGGATGAGTTAACAGGACATATTTAAGATGATATTCCTTGGTGTATGCTTTTCGCAAACGATATAGTGTTGATAGATGAAACTCAGGAAGGGGTAAATGCGAAGCTTAACCTTTGGAGAGAAGTGTTGGAAACTAAAGGTCTTCGCCTAAGCCGATCAAAGACAGAATATATATAGTGCAAGTTCAGTGTAAACGGAGGCCAAAATGAGTTAGGGGTGAGGATCGGAGATCAGGAAATACCAAAGAGCGACCGTTTTCGCTACCTATGATCTATCTTGCAAAAGAACGGAGAATTTAATGGAGATCTCAACCATAGAATACAAGCTGGATGGATGAAGTGGAAGAGTGCATCCGGCGTGTTGTGTGACCGTCGTAGGCCACTAAAGCTCAAGGGAAAATTTTATAGGACGACAATAAGGCCGGCGATGCTGTATGGCACAGAATATTGGGCGGTGAAGCATTAACACGTAGGTGTAGCAGAGATGCGGATGCTTCGTTGGACGTGTGGGCACACGAGAAAGGATAAGATTAGGAATGAGGATATCCGAGGTAAAGTAGGAGTAGCCGAAATTGAAGGAAAGATGAGAGAAAATCGGTTACGGTGGTTTGGACATGTGCAAAGAAGGCCTACTGACGCTTCGGTTCGAAGATGTGACTACGAGACAGACGTTCAGGGCCGAAGGGGTAGAGGAAGACCTAGGAAAACTTTGAAAGAGACCCTAAGAAAAGACTTAGAGTACTTGGATCTAACGGAGGACATGACACAAAACCGAGCGCAATGACGTTCTAGGATTCATATAGCCAACCCCACTTAGTGGGAAAAAGCTTTGTTGTTGTTGTTGTTTGTTGTATACTACCATCAAGAGATGTTGCTTTAGTTTTTAACTCATCTTGATTTGGATTGGATATTCTTGTTTATACCAGGAGTTCAATGTGCTAGACTATGAGGAGAAAGTGGTTGATGGATTTTATGATGTATATGGACTTTCCCCAGATTCAGCAATTCAAGGAAAAATGCCATCTCTCACAAATCTTGAAACAAACCTTGGGAGTTCTGGATTCAAAGTTTCATTAGTAAATTGAAAAGTTGATCCTGTCTTGGAAGAGTTGGTGCAAATTGCACAACGTATTGCTTTAGACTGTCTTGTCACCAATGTTGGTGTTTTAGTTCAGAGGCTTTCTGAACTCATTAGTGAACGTATGGGTGGGCCTGTAAAGGACGCAAATGTTGTATTAGCGAGATGGATGGAAAGAAGCACAGAGTTGAGGACATCAATGCAAACTAGTGTATTGCCTATTGAATCCATAACTGTTGGTCTCTCTCGACATCGTGCTTTCAGATTATCATCAGTTACTAGCTTTCAAATTATCATCAATAAAAAAACTTGTTTTTCTCTATGAGAGCTATTAGGGTTTTTGCCAGAATGAACGTAGGATAAACAAAGAGTGATCGTAGAGTTTAGTTATAGTGTTTGAGTTTATTGATAAATTTGAATTTTATTATTAATTGTATTTAGTACTTAATAGTAATTATGCAATAGGGTAAAATAGACAATTAACATTTAAAATTTAAGTTAAATGTAAAAAAAGGTTACATAGATTTAAATAAAATTTCCCGAATTCAATGTATGTTGCTGACAGGAATTCAACGTATGTTGCAGCGAAGGTAGGGATATAGGTATATACGACTATTAATTCCGTCGACATGATGAATTTCCAATGGTTATGGGTAAATTTGTTGGGTGATTCCAACGGGTATGTTTATGGGGTATTGGATGTTGGCAGATATGGCCAACTGAAGGAGTAAGATTGGAATGGTACGAAAGTGGAAGATATAAATACGACAGGTCTTATGGGGTAGATGACAATAGTGGCAGTACGGGGATCAGAATTGCTCTGATACCATACCAATTAGAGTTAATTTCTTGATATATTCAAGTATGAAACCCAATACAGGGAGTATGATTATCTCCCTTCCTATTACTATCTTCTTCCTTTATCTTCTCTCACACTTTTCCTTTTGGTATTTTCTCTATATAAAAAAGGGTTTTTACCATAAATGGTCCCTGAAATTGACCATCACCATCAAGATGGTCCCGAAAATTGAAAATCAATCAATGTAGTTCCTGAAAATAGGTGTTACAAATCAATGTGGTCATTTCCTCACAATTACGTTAAAATTTCCGTTAAGTGCTTATATGACACATAAATGGGCCCACAAGATTTACAGGGTTTTATTACAAATGATCCCTGAAATTGACTCACATTATCAAGACGGTTCCTGAAATTGACCCACATCATCAAGATGGTCCCAAAAATTGAAAATCGATGAATGTAGTCCTTGAAAATAGTTGTCGCAAATCAATATGATATTTTTGCTACTATTTTGTAAATTTTTTTTGTTATGTGTTGATGTGGGTTTAATAATTAATCTAAAAAGTTGTCTAAATACCTTTTTGCACAATATTTTTTTCTTCTTATAGTAGGAACCTACTTCGAAGAAAAATCTCTGCCATAAATTCTCAAAGGCACAAGGCTTAACCAAGGCCTAAGAGGGGGTTTGGAAATAGTTTTCAACAAACAATAGACGCACCTCAGTTATAACCTCATTATCTCAAGAGAGACCTCACCGTTCTTTGAGTCACTATACCACCAAGGAAGTGCTAAACAAGCTCTCCAAGATTAAGGTTGTGAGGATGTTGATCGCATAAATGTTAACTGTGATATCTCAGAAGTTGTCAATCAGCCAAGCCGTCACCAAAGGTGATCTCGACCCAGGTTCAATTCGGTGAAGGGTGTCGAAGTCTGTAAAGGTAGGTGTATTGAGATTTTTTTTAGAGAATAGACAGGAAATGAGGTAGATGAATGTGGACTGGGATTAGAGATGATTGCAGGCCTGGGTTTTTGGGTTGCCAACATTTTATTAACTACTAAATTATTAAACCTATTTGTAATTTTTAATAAAAATTTTAATTAGACTTGTGTGATCTATTTATATGTTACATCAGTACATAACAGAAATTTTGACATAATTATGACATAATGACTACATTGATTTGGAACACTTACTTGCGGGACTACATTGATCGATTTTCAATCACATCAGCTCTTAATGGAAATTTTAACAAAATTGTGGCGGAATGACCATAAAGATTTGCGACACCTATTTTCAGGAACTACATTGATTGATTTTCAATTTCAGGGACTATCTTGATGGTGATGGTCAATTTCAGTGACCATTTGTGATAAAAATCCTATAAAAAATTCAAAACAAGATGTTTACCATCGTCTTCCCTTTTCATCTCTCACACTTTCCTTTTTGTCTTTTCTCTATATAAAAAGTTTAAAACAAGATGTTGGCTTAATCATAATTGTTTAAATAGGAGGAGAGAGAATAAGATGGGATAGTCTTAGAAACGTAATATAGTAGAATGGTTTTTCTTGTATTCACCGAAAGCTAGGGTTACAAGATATATAGGAAACAGATACATTCCTGATCCTAAACTAATGCCTACAATCAAGGAAATTAAACCATAACAGGTAAGCAAGTAACTAATTTACAGATTTACAATATTTACAATAATTAATCTGAGATATCTTCTTTAACACTCCCCCTCAAGTTGGAGTGTATGTTAATAACACCCAACTTGCTGAGCAATGTTTCAAACTGTGTAGAACTCAACGGTTTGGTGAAGATGTCTGCTGGTTGGTCAGTTGTTTGTATGTATGCCGTACGAATCAGTCCTTCTTGAATCTTCTCTCTTACCAAATGACAATCAATCTCTATATGCTTTGTCCTTTCATGAAATACCGGGTTCGAAGCAATGTATATGGCTGCTTGGTTGTCACAAAACAACGTGACTGGTTGTGAATGAATCACCTTTAAATCTCTTAAAATGTTCTTTAACCATGTGATCTCACAACATGTGGCTGCCATGGAACGATACTCGGCTTCTGCACTGGAACGAGAGACAGTGGTTTGCTTTTTTGTTTTCCAGGATATCGGTGCTTGACCAAGTTGAATATAGTAACCTGTTATCGATCTTCTTGTGTCTTTGCATCTAGCCCAGTCAGCGTCACAAAATGCCCTTAACTGCAAGGATCCCTTGGATGGCAAAAATATGCCTTGTCTCGGTGCACTCTTGATGTATTTGAGAACTTTGTGTGCTGCCTCAAGGTGTGGTTGTCGAGGCTTTTCCATAAACTGACTTAACATGTGCACAACATAGGCTAAGTCCGGCCTTGTTATTGTCAGGTAGATCAGCCTACCCACAAGTCTCCTATATGATGAAGCATCAACCAGAAGTTCTCATTCTGCCTGTGTAAGAGAAACATTTTGCTCCACAGGGAATCGTGAAGGTTTGGCACCCAAAAATCCCGCATCATCTAATATATCCAATGCAGATTTTCATTGGCATAAGGTGATGCCATTTTTGGACCGTGCAACCTCTATCCCCAAGAAATATTTAAGGCCTAAGTCTTTCAATTTGAATTGTTGCGAGAGAAACTGCTTCGTTGCTTCAATTTCTTGCAGATTATTTCCTGCTAGAATCACATCATCAACGTATACCAACAAAGCAATGAAGTTACCTTGCTGACTTCGGACGAACAAGGAATAATCAGACCATGATTGATGAAATCCGGCAGCCTTGAGAGCGGTGGAAAGTTTGATGAACCAGTGTCTTGAGGCTTGCTTGAAACCATATAAGGATTTGTGTAGCTTGCATACACGAGTCTCCCCCTTTCGTTCGAAGCCAGGAGGTAATTGCATGTACACTTCCTCGTCAAGATCACCATGCAAGAAGGCGTTGTTGACATCGAGTTAGTGCAAATGCCACTGACGCACATCAGCAACACTAAGGAGCACACGAACAATGGTTAACTTGGCAACCGGAGCAAAGGTTTCACGATAGTCAACCCCTTATATTTGGTTATAGCTCTTAGCAACCAACCGGGCTTTGTAACGCTCGATGGTCCCATCAGGTTTAAGCTTGACCTTGTACACCCATTTGCAGCCAATCGACTTTTTATTATGGGGAAGTGGAACGAGAGACCAAGTATTGTTGGCCTGAAGAGCAGCAATTTCGTGTTGCATGGCAGCACGCCATTGTGGATGGTGGACAGCCTGCAGAAAAGTGGTAGGCTCTCGGATGTTGGTGACGTTAGTGACAAAATGTTTATGCATGGGAGAAAGGCGATGGTAAGATAGGTAATGAGACAGAGGGTGAGAAGTACCTGATAACTGAACCAGATTTGAGGAAGAAGCAGGTCGGGATGGGAGAGAGGTCTCGACGTGGAAATCCTGCAAGAAAGATGAGGGTTTGGTAGGGCGTGTACCACGACGGGGTGGCGGTGGTGCAGCAGGAGATTGAGCAGGAGGGGAAGGCGGAGGTGATGGTGATGGTGATGGAGAAGGTAAGGAAGGTGAATGGGTCTCAACGGGTAAAGGAGGTGGAATGGTGACAAGGGCAGAGCCTACTTCAGGAGAGGGTTTTATGGTAGGTGAATGAAGGAGAGTAGGGGACGGATCAAACGATGGCAAATAGTATTCTATGGGAAGTGGAGTAGGACTGGTAGTGGGAGCAGCAGAAGTATGGGATAACTGATAGGGAAAGTGGTCTTCGAAAAAGGTGACATCCCGTGACACAAAAATCTTTTTAAGTGTGAGATCAAACAAGCGGTAACCCTTTTGACCATAAGGGTACCCAAGGAAAAGACATCGTCGTGCACGAGGATCAAATTTAGAGGGTTTTTGTGCATGGGTTGATGCAAAACATAAGCATCCAAAAACACGTAAATGCATGTAACTTGGTGCCTTGTGAAACAATTTGTGATATGATGTTTGCCCTTGAAGAAGAGGTGTGGGTGTATGATTGATAAGATAGGCCGAAGTGAGAATGGCATCCCTTCAAAAATGGTTAGGAAGATTGGCTTGGAAAAGAAGGGCTCGAGCAACATTTAACAAGTGTCTGTGTTTGCGTTCAGCAACACCATTTTGTTGTCGTGTGTTGACACAACTGGTTTGGTGAAGGATCCCTTTGAGTTTGTAAAATGTGGCAAGTTTGAACTCGGGACCATTATCACTTCGAATCACCTTAACTGTTGTGATGAATTGATTCTCAATCATGTGAATAAATTGAACAAGAAGGTCTTGTGTGTCAGATTTATGTTTCATCAAATAAACCCAAGTGCACCTTGTGTAATCATCAACAATGGTGAGAAAATATTTTGCACCTGAGAGGGAAGGAACTTGATAACCACCCCAAATGTCAATATGTATTAATTCAAAACATGAACGAGTAGATATAGAACTCAAGGGAAAAGACAATCTGGTTTGTTTAGCCAATGGGCAAATTAAACATTTATTGGAATCACACAATTTATTGTGCACAAAGGGAAGTAACGAGGACACTTTAGGTGATGGGTGCCCAAGGTGTTGGTGCCAAAAAGGAAAGCTCATGGTGTTGCAGGATCTCTTCTTTGGTGGTTCGAGATAGTTCTCGTCCCAATCATCTTCCCCGAACGTAGGTTTTATATGACACAAAATTGTTTGAGAAAAATGGTGATGTAGAAGGAATCATAGGCTAACTTGCTAATAGATATTAAATTTAACCTAAACAATGGTACACATAAAACATTGTTAAGGATAAGGTTGGGAGAGAAGACCATTTTGCAGACATGGGTTACGGTAGCAAGGGAACCATTTGGTAATTCAACACTATGATTTTCAACACGTTTTGAGGACGTGAGAAACTCAGGACTGCATACAATGTGGTCCGTGGTGCCACTGTCCAAAATCCAAATGATTTGCTTTCCATTACGCACGAAAGAAAATGCTTTACCTGAAAGTTCTTCATGTTTCGAAGAATTACCCACTTGATTAGCAAATGAGGATTTGCTCTTGTTCAAAAGCTGAAGAATCTGCTTGCAGTCCTCCGGAGAAAAAATGGAAGTTGGGCATTGTGTCATTCTTGTCACATGTCGTGACTTGGTTGCCCTTGGAAGGCCGACTTTGGTCAGTTTCAGCCGCTGCTTTTCGTTTGAGGCAAAAGTCAAAAGTGTGTCCCTTCCAACCACAAAATGTGCACTTGAGATGAGCACGACAATTCTTGGTGCTATGGTTGGTCTTGTTGCATTTGGCGCATCGCTGACTACTATCTTCTGTCTCGGGTTCTCGACCAGCACCTTTCACTGTAAACACGGCAACTTCAGGTTGCATGGTGCTGCTCTTTCCATTTGACACTTCGACTTGTTTTTCATGACGAAGAACAAGCGCATAAGCTTTGTTAACAGTTGGCAATGGATCCAGCAAGAGGGTGTTGTTACGAACCGTAGCATATGAGTCACTTAAACCCATAAGGCACTTCATTGTTTTCTGAGTCTCAACATATGATGTTATCTCATTCCTCGCTTCACAATGGCATGTCAGGATTGAACATAAGGCATCACGTTTATCCCAAAGGCTTTTGAGTTTGGTGAAATAAGAACTCACCGTCATGTTGCTTTGCACACAATTATGAATTTCGTTTTCTATGTGAAACAGTTGAACGATGTTCACATGAGAGAACTTTTCTTGCAGGTCAAGCCACATCTGCCGTGCGTCATTGCAGTGTATGACACTTCCTGAGATTTCTTTTAACATGGAACCGAGCAGCCATGTTTTCACCAGATTATTGCACCTGTTCCATTGCTGTAATTCTTCAACCTGTGCATCAGTTGGCTTCGTGATTGTTCCATCAACCAGCCCTAACTTGTTTTTGACCATCAAGGCCATGAGATTGCGCCCATGTGCCATAGTTGTCTTCCACGAGCGGTTGCGGGACAAGAATGGCGCCAGGCTAATCCGAGTGATGAAGGTAAAGTGGATGATTAGGGTTTTCCCACTTCTGATGCAAAGTCATGCCTAAAGAGGTTGACTTTTCTGGTTTGTCACCCATGGCTATGGTTGCTAAGGTTTAAATTTCTATCGTGGTTTTCCCAGATCGATCACTCTGGTACCATCTTAGAAACGTAATATAGTAGAATGGTTTTTCTTGTATTCATCGAAAGCTAGGGTTACAAGATATATAGGAAACAGATACATTCCTGATCCTAAACTAATGCCTACAATCAAGGAAATCAAACCATAACAGGTAAGCAAATAACTAATTTACAGATTTACAATATTTATTATAATTAATCTGAGATATCTTCTTTACAGATAGAATCTTAGTTCGTGCTACAAATCATAAATACTAGGGCGGGCAGTGGGGTGGTTGCCACTGATACCCAAGCCAAAGGCTAGGGCCGGCGGCAAAAGTTTCGTGGGTTTGAGTTTTAGCAGAGAAAGATAGTTTTAGAGAGAGGAAGGGGCATCATTAAACTTATAATTGGTATATATCTAAATTTACTACTTACAACTACCCTACTAACTACAATGAAATTTCATGTCTGATTTTCTAATTCTTTACTCAACAATGGTTGCTTCAGTTAACAATTATATATATAAAAAAAAACAACATAAAAAATACTGAAAGTAAACGCATAAATTTTATATTTTATTGCTCAAACAGAAATACAAAAAGTTGAACAAATGGCTTCATTTTATATGAAGACTTGCCACGTCCAGTTCTGTTGAACTTTTTCTTCTAATCATGCGGCTGCAAAACGTTCCCCCGCTCATTTCCATGAACGTACGTAATCACAAGTACGTGTCGGTATTGATCCTGCATGGGTTCTCAGGTTTGATCAACCATAGACAGTTCCTTGTTATGAACCTGATTAGCGTAATCATAGTTAGTCATTGACTTAGTTAAATGGGACTGTTACAAGTAATTAGGAAGATTTGTTAGATTCTGCTAGCTGGCAGTGAGTTTGGGAGTACTATAAATAGTCCAATGTGTAATGGCTTTGCCCAATGGTTAATTTAATAAAAAGAAATATAAACAAAAAATTTCAGAGCTCTGCTCTCTCTCCTCCTTTCCCTCTTCCTCTCTATCCTCTGTGTTACTTGCAGATTGATTTAGGGCTTAGAGATTTGGATCTTATCACTGCATTTATCTTCATCGAAATTGAATATGTCAAACGAATGGGATTGGCCAGGCCACGAAAAGCTGCAGAATAATAGTGTTCCTCCGAGAACTTTTATTTTGAAATCAAACCCATACGCAGGATCTCCAAAACGAATCAAATGTTCTCCAAGACCATCGTCCGCAGACTTACAATGAACAGTAAGACATAGGCCAGCACCTAGAGTTGGTAATACCGACATGTGCGTCTAGAGAGACATCGTTAATTCGAGCATGTGTGTCACGCATTGCCACAACACAAGCAACGATGAAATAGAATGTCAATAACAGCTCCCTAACTTGATTCATCTTTGTATTTGTATTTCTATGCATTGGGGTTTATCGGCGTCTGCCAATTTATAGTGTGATAGGATTGCATATCAAAGATACATCTAACAGAAGCAAAATATTGAAGTAGGAAAAATATTGGCACATTTTTGCTGCGTGTTATATATGTTGTCATACAACGATTAGAAATTTAATTTGTTTAATATGTTTTAGTTGGAAAAATATTGGCACATTTTTGGTAGGTTATGTTGTAGTACTATTAGATTAGGAATGTGATTATATAAATTCTATCATATCTCAGATATCCTTGTGGGATTCTACCATATATCTCAGACTAGATATAATCCTATTAGAGTTATAATCTACTATAAATAAAGACACAATGTGTGAGATAACACACACAATTCACAATTACACATTTCTCCCTTTTCGCTCTGTGCCGCCAACTAGCCCCCTCTATGTCCTCTATAATTGTCCATTAAATTAGGCTTACAATAGGTTATACATTTTTGCTCTGTGTTATATATGTTGTCATACAACGAATACAAATTTAATTCGTTTAATATTTTATATATAAAAAAAAAGATTATTTAATATCAATTGATTTATGGCATGGAATGTTAGACGGTAAAGCATCAACAAGTGTAAAAAATTAAGTGTGGTAAAAATGAGAATGTTTCGTTGGATGTGTGGGCTCACGATAAAGGATAGTATTGAGATTGAGGATAATCGAGGTAAAGTAGGTGTGGTTGCAATTAAAGATAAAATAAAAGAAAATCGGTTAAGGTGGTTCGGACATGGAAAACAGAGACCTACAGATGCTCCTCCTAGAAAATGCTATTATAAGACAGAGACTTAGGCTTATGACAAAAGGAATAGAGGAAGACCTAGGAAGTCATGGAAAGAGACTTAAGAAAAGACATGAAGAAATTGGAGTTAACAGAAGACTTGACGCATAACTGAGCGCAATGGTGTTCTAGAATTCATACAGCTGACCTCACTTATTGGGATAAGACTTTATTATTTTTTTTAATTTTATTATTTTTAGAAATGGGAGGGTTCGAAACATTTGTAATAATTTAGGGGATGGGAGAGTATTGAATCCGAAATGCATGAGTGAAAATCCAACACTTTATCCAATAAGATATTGGATCACATGCAAGGCTTTGTTATCATTAACATTGCTAAAAATGGTTTAATTGATTTTTGGAATTACTTTAAAAAGTAAATATATATTAAACACAGAGTGGTATACATTGAATTATTGGGTACAATAGAAGGAAAACTTTGGGCCCACAATTTTCCATGTTGGTAGGTTATATATTTTGGAAAGGGATCATCTCCGGATCCATTCCACCAAATCCACCAATCCGGACCCTTGAAATTTGATCCAAGTGCTACAAACAGGGCCCTTCCTTAAAAGTTATAAAAACTTTAGCCGTTGGATCAAATTTCAATGGCTCGGATTGGTGAATTTGGTGGAAGGATCCGAAAGGGATCATTTTCCTTATATTTTGTTGTGTTGATGCACAAAACCAGAGGTCTTGGAACAATGTAAATCTGACCGTGAATCTGCAAGAAATGTAAATAACACAAGATGTATCGTGGTTCATCCTAATGTTTGGGCTTCGTCCACACTGATTATTGTATTTCTGAGAGGATTGTGAGAAAGAGCTTCTGAGGGTGAGAGGGCCTAGGAATTGGCTTCCTCTAATTGTGAGGGTGAGGAGTCCTTTTATAGAATAAGGGCTCCTCACTTATTACATATTTACCCTTTCCTTTACTACATAATTACACTTAAGTCCCCTGAGTATTTATACGAGATCTAAATACGGAGGCCCTAAGTATCGTACAAACAATAGTCCCTTAAGTCTTCAGTCAAGAGAGTCTTTTGGCTGGAGACTTGAAATTCAGTCCATGTGGGGGCCGAAGTAACTAGATGTCGTCTAGAGTTGATACTCGATATGAGGCGGTGCTCAATCTGAAATGATGCTCAATCTGAAATGATGCTCAACTAGAAGTAACACATGTTGCGGGGCTGCTCTGCTTTGTGGCTTATGTTGCCTTGGTTGGCTCGGCTTGTGGCGTTGAAGGTGAGGGAGTCCCTTTTATAGAATAAGGGCTCGCTCCTCTGTACATGAATAATGGGTGCTCTCTAATGAAAGTGAGGGAGTCTTTTTATAGAATAAGGGCTTGCTTCTTAATACATAAATAATGGGTGCTCTCTAATGAAAGTGAGGGAGTCCCTTTTATAGAATAAGGGCTCGCTCCTCAATACATGAATAATGGGTTAAGTCCCCCAAGTATTTTTCATGAGGCCCAGTTGAGGCCCAATATATGGTACATAATGTAGTCCCCCACGTCTTCGGTCAATAGAGTCTATTGGTTGGAGACTTCAAATTGAATCCATGTATGGGCCGAAGTGGTGGTTGTTCGGAGGCGGTATTTGTATACCCTGCACTGAAGCTTTGTAGGCGAAGTTTTGCAAGTTGAAGCTTTGAAGCTAGAGCTCTGTGAATGAAGCTTTTGAAGCTAGAGCTTTTGTAAATGAAGCTTTTTGAAGCTAGAGCTCTGTAAATGAAGTTGAAGCTGGAGCTCTGTAAATGAAGCTTTTGAAGCTAGAGCTTTTGTAAATGAAGCTTTTGAAGCTGATTGACATGAGTGATGCTCATGAATGTTTATGTTGATTGACATGAGTAATGCTCATGGATGTTTGACATGAGTGATGCTTATGAATGTTAACATGAGTGATGCTCATGAATGTTTATGTATGATTGAATGAGTGATGCTCATGAATGTTTATGTATGATTGACATGAGTAATGCTCATGAATGTTTATGTATGATTGACATGAGTAATGCTCATGTATAATTTGAAGTACTGGGCGTACTTTTGATCACCTGGTTGGTGATAATAGCGGCAGGGTGCCGAATAATTTTGGAGTACTGGACGTACCTTTGATCACCTGGTTGGTGATAATAGAGGCAGGGTGCCGAATAATTTTGAAGTGCTGGGCGTACTTTTGATCACCTGGTTGGTGATAATAGCGGCAGGCTGCCGAATAATTTTTTGTAGTACTAGACGTACTTTTGATCACCTAGTTGGTGATAATAGAGGGCCTAGCTCTTTTAGGCATATTGGCCTTCGCCCTTCACATAACATTCCAGCCTATTATTTTGGGCTTGCCATTTTTTTTTTAATTTTTAAAATTTTTTTTACTATTATTACCCTCTGATGGGGTTATACAGATATCTTCGAAGGATACAAAAAATAAATTACATCATTCAAAAATAAATCCGACCCTCTGCTCAATGGGTCATGCCTATAATTTCCTCTTCTGCATGCCATCACCACCGCAATTATGTCTGCTTTTTTTTATCTTCTTTTGCTTTCTGCTTTTACTTTCTCTTTTTGCTTTTGTTTTCTGCTTTTCTTGATCTCCCCGCTCATTCTCTGTCCACCGGTGTTGCTTTGTAAGGTATCTTTTGCTTGCAAACCCACTCGCTTTTCTTGGACAACCTGGTCATGCCCATCCATTCTTACTCCTCCTTTTTCTTTTCTGTAAAGGAAAAGAGACTTTGGGGAATCTGTGAAAGAAAAGAGAGAGTTTTTCTTGGACAGCCTGGTCGTGCCCATCCATTCTTACTCCTTATTTTTCTGCTGCATTGCTGGCAAAACCTTTGGTAGAGGCCAGAGACAAGCACAAAACTTTATGCTTTCTATGATACTGCTTTTCTTCACTCAGATCAGCTATGCACCTGTCCGCCTGACACCGTCTCATTGCGCCACCTCCTCCTCCGCTAGATGACAAGGATGACGACGATCTCTTTTCTTTTTTCTGTCTACTTGCAGCTCACCATCAAATTTCTCATCCTCCCTCTTCACGGCTCTCTCAATCGCAGCCGTTCCCTGACGAACATAGGCTCCAGAACATTATGCGGAGGTTGAGGGAGGGCAGAGAGAGAGAGACGATGCGGGCTTCATTGGTGGAGCATCGGACCTTAAGAGTGCCGTTGCAGCGGCAAGGAGCTTTGAGTTTGTGAAGGTAATCCTCATCCTGGCAAATTCTGCATTCATTTTGTATTCCAATACCAGATCCCTGCCCTTCTTCCGAGTTCACATTCGAGGATCCCTGACCTGCTTGTATGTCTTTGTTCAGCGCCTCTACTTTCTCCTTTGCTTCAGTACTACTTTTCCCTGAGGTGAACGCCGCCGCTTTCTCCACCATCTTGCTTGCGGTTTCCATCGAAGATTTTGTACGTTACTGGAGATCTCCTCTAAGCCTCTCTCTTTTCAGAGACTCTCTCTCTCTCTCTCTCTCTCTCTAAAAACTCTCTTTTGAGAGTTGTCTGAATTGGCGTCTCTTAAAATTGTGGGAGCTTGGCGGAAGGGAAAATTGGGGGTTTTGGTGGGAATGGGAGTAGGTAGGGATTGATGGACTTTCTTGCTAACAAATCACCAACCATTTTCTAACGCCATAAATTTAAAAGACAAAATTAAGAAAGCTCAGAAAAGAGTGGTAGGTGTCTTGTCTTTGTGTGGGTTTTGCAGATCCATGGCGGAGGTAAAAAAATTGAGAGAGAACTGACACAACTTTTCGTATCGATTCCCACAGACGGTGCCAAATGTTGATGCACAAAACCGGAGGTCTTGGAACAACGTAAATCCGACCGTGAATCTGCAAGAAATGTAAATAACACAAGATCTATCGTGGTTCATCCCAATGTTTGGGCTTCGTCCACACTGATTATTGTATTTCTGAGAGGATTGTGAGAGAGAGCTTCTGAGGGTGAGAGGGCCTAGGAATTGACTTCCTCTAATTGTGAGGGAGGAGTCCTTTTATAGAATAAGGGCTCCTTACTTATTACATATTTGCCCCTTCCTTTATTACATAATTACACTTAAGTCCCCGAGTATTTATATGAGATCTAAATACGGAGGCCCTAAATATGGTACAAACATGTTGCAGTATATGTAGTTTGTCAGATGATTCATCCTACGTTCTGGAGATATCTAGTATTGTTTAAACATAGAAGAGAATACATGGAATGGTTGGGTGAAATATCACTTTAGGGAAAAAAAACTGTTGGCATAATTTACAGCTTTGGTATGTTTCATTATTATTCCTGCATAGCATATTAATTGCCATATTTAAGCTTTTGTTTAACATGGTAATCTGAAAAACAGTATTAAAATGATTTATCTAGAATGAAATTACACAGATTAGTAAATTGTATGTTTCTATACATTGTTGCTGCATAGCATATATAGGTTATTATGCAATGGATATGTAGGGAAACCATATTGATATGGTTCTATCACATTATCCCACCATTATTAGTGTTTGATCTTATCCTAAAATAATTGTCGTATCTTTATTAATCTTTACCATGTTGTAGTTAGATGAGAAACACTTCTTGTGTTTCAAAACAAACGAAAGAATGAATATAGTAGTAAAATCTCACAAAGCATATCGTTAAAATTCGTAGTTTAAGAAGAAAAATTTGCATTAATCAAAATTAAATGCTTTCATGACGGAAATAGAATGCACAGAAAAGTATGACCAACCCATGATAGGTGCTTGTTAAAACCTCGTCAAGTAGAAAAAATCCAGTGTGAAAAATGCTCCTAATCTAAGGGGGAAAAGTACATTAAGATCAAGTGAGTATACTTATATAACCGTAATTGCATACATTTTTATATCATTTAGTTTAGAGTCTTGTTATGTTTTTGAGTGAGTTTAATTTGCTTTCACTTTGTTTTGTGTTTTCCATAGATTTGAACAAAGAATATGAAGAAAGAGGAAAAATGAGCACTTTTGCGTTTAAAATGAGTTTGGCATCCATAAAGCATAAACTGTATGTGCAGATTAGCCAAGTTTACGGATTAAACTGTACCTCCTTAGAAGTAACTAGCTATTGAGTCTTATACCATTAGAAAGATATGAAAGTTATATTTTGAGTAATTTTACAATTTGTGATTCCGAGTTTTCTAGACGAAGTTATAGCAATTCTCGTACATGACATCTGCCACTCAAGTTTAGGTGGGATTTGAAAAGTTGTTAATGCTCAAAACTTGCAGGTTAACAAAATCAAACAATTAGGTCTTGATGGGCTTAGATTGAAACTAAAATGAAATGGACTTAGGATTTAAGGGGTCACCTCTCAAAACTGGGCTACATTCACTGTGTTACTCAGATTATATTGATTTCAAGGGTTACAAATATGACTAACGACTAGAATTCCATCTTGGTTTAGTCATTTGACCTCTTACAAGAAGTTCTCACCCCTTTATATAAATCCTTAGTGAACCCGTAAATCCTTGGGCTTGCCTAATCTCATTTTTCTTAGCATTTAATGTGCTACTTACATCGACTAACGTGTTGACAACCTTTTTAACCATCAATCGATATTTGACGGTAAAGTGACGTTTGCTTAGTCAAGATTGCATACCCTTTTAGATCAATATGTGTCGAGCGGTATGCTCGTGTTCGATTAGTTAACACTGTCACTTCGAACAACGACCTGAACACTTTTATGTCTCTTCCTAGACCTTTGCTTTTGATTGTTGATTGACATGTGGCCTGATTAGTGTCTAAATAGGCTTGCTTTTAAGCATTGTGCCATAAAGTTGTCAGCCTTCCCACGTTTCCTTGGCGGTTAGAAAGTACTTTATGTTGCCTAGTTCGACTAGGCTAGTGAGCGATTGTTTGGCGCTCGACATATTCACTTTTAACTTCTTTGGGTCTTGGGCTTCTTAATCATCTTTGGACTTTGACTTTGATTAGGCCTTTTGTGGTCTTTTTCCTAGCCTGCACTATTATGTGGATTGAAAAGGACATTGCATTAACAAGTGTTTGAGCTCCTTGTTCATGGGTTATTTCTTGGGCATGGATTTGCAACGGTCAGGGATGCATGTGTGAGTGGTGCACATGTTAGTGATAGGCTGGTGGAGTAAGGGAGGTGTTCGTGTATTGTAGGCATAACAGATAAGCAAGGCCTCGTGCACCATGATGTATTTTGATGTCATTTCAGATAGAAAGAATGCTTTCTATATTTCATTTCTTAATCAGGAAGTAATTACAACTGAGTTTATATAGATTTTGCTAAAGAAGCTTAGTGACTAATAACACTAGATTAATCACTAACAGTGTGATTAACAACAAAACAGTTGTAACTAGTTTACAGCTGTTACATAACAAAAAAATAACTAGGGGTTAGATTTCCCTTTACCCTTCATTAAGCCAAACGAAGGAGATCCAAGAGAAAGCTTGGACTATAACAACTTTAATTTGGCCTTGGAAAATGCCTTGGTATGAATGTCTGCAATCTGATGATGAGTACTAACATGTTGAACTCGAATTAAATTAGCCAAAACAAGTTCTCAAATGTAATGGTAATTAATTTCCACATGTTTCGTGCGAGCATGAAACATAGGATTTGATGCTAAAGAGATCGCAGATACATTGTCACACCAAAGTTGAGGTACCAGGTACCTGATGAACTGGGAAAGTTATATCTTTAAAGATTTTGGAGATCCATGTCAATTCAGCAGCTGTGTGGGCAAAAGATCGATATTTAGCCTCTGTGGACGATTAAGCAACTGTGTGTTGCTTATTTGCACTCCAGCTAATCAAGTTAGGACCCAGATACACGCAGTAACCACTGGTTGAGTGTCTATCAAAAGGGCAACCAGCCTAATCAACATCTGAAAAGGCTGTGAGATGTAAGAGACCTTTCTTAAACCACATTCCTTGAGTAACAGAACCTTTGAGAAATCGCAGAATCCTTTTAATTGCTTAAAAGTGATGTTATCTCGGACAATGAAGGAATTGACACACTTAGTTCACAGCAAAAGAAATATATGGTCATGTCCAAGTAAGGTACTGTAAAACACCTACAACTGATCTATATTTTTTGGGATTATCAAGTAATGGACCAATATGATCTAACTTAGTTGTTCCAAGAGGAGTAGAACATGGTTTGCAGCTATCCATATTGGTTTTAACAAGCAGATCAAGAGCATATTTACCTTGAGATACAAATGCTTTACAATGAGAAGCATTTGGACCAGTCACTAGGATGTCATCAACATACACTAGGACTATAACTGGAGAGGGCTTTTGTTGAACAAATAGAGAGCAATCAAACTTGGAGTTGTCAAAACCAAGAGATGTGAGAGTATGAAAGAGTTTATCATACCATGCTCTAAGGGCCTGTTTCAAGCCATAGAGTGACTTGTTGAGCTTGCAAACATAGGATGATTTGGTTGGATCAATGAAGCCAAAAGGTTGCTGCATGAAGACTTCATTCTTTGAGATTGCCATGAAGAAATGCATTGCTTATATCCAATTGATTGAGAAACTAGTTGTGTTGAACTGCAAGGGTCAACAAAATCCGAATGGTGACTGGTTTGGCAATATGACTGAATGTATCTTGAAAGTCAACCCCTTCTTGTTGATGAAACCTCTTAGCTACAAGTCGAGCTTTGTACCTGTTAATGGTGCCATCTGGTTTTCTCTTAATTCTGAAAACCCATTTGCACCCTACAATATTCTGATGAAGAGATTGAGGTACTAAAGTCCAAGTACCTGTATTGTGCAAAGCTTTAAAATCTTCAGACATTGCTTGGTTCCATTGATCATGTTTGGAAGCCTGTAAATAAGTAGTAGGCACAAAATGGCTAGTATTAATTGGATGCTTAGTTGCAGCCAAAACCTTGGGTTTAAAAATCCCAGCCTTTGACCTTGTGACTATTAGATGTGTATTAGTGGAGACAACAGGCATTGGTGAAGCAACATGCATTGGGGAAGCAACTACAATAGGCACTTGTGATTGATGGGATGTTGGAGAAGACAATGGTTGTGAAAACTGCTCTGGAGTAGGTAATGATGTAATGCTGCTTAAGGGTGAGACAGTAGGCAGAGAAGAAATTGTGTGAGAAACAAGAAATGGAAGAGTGAAAGTTGATGAAGAGTTTGATGGAGTGGCTGTGGATGTAGATTCCAATGGTGCAGTGCCCTGTGACTGTTGTAAACTTTGAAAGGGAAGTGATCTTCATTGAAAGTGACATGTTTAAAGATGTACAAACGTTGTGTTTGAACATCTAAACACCTGTAGCCCTTGTGTTGTAAACTATAACCAAGGAAGACACAGAGAGTACTCTTGCCATGGAGCTTGGAAGAAACATATGGTTTAAGCCAGGGATAACAACTACAACCAAAGGTCTTAAGCTTTGAATAATTTGGAGCCTTTTTGAAGAGTAACTCCCAAGGAGATTTATCCAAATTTGATAAAGGCAGTCGATTAATAAGATACAAAGCTGTGGAGTAAGCTTCAACCCAATATTTGTGAGGAACACTTGAAGCTACTAAT